CAGCTACTGCTACAAGAAATGTCAGCTCAATATGTGTAAAATTGACTCAGTTATGAATATGTCTGTGTTTTGTAAGATCTGTTGTCTGTAGCGGCCTTATTGAATTAGATTGACACTAAACATCAATCAGTTGTAGTTGGGCATGCAATGATTAATGCCTGAAAGTTTCAGTAAAAATACATGAAATGGTTCATGAAGTATTTTGCTAACAGACAGAAATTGACAACAACATTATCATCTGTCTTTACTTAGTGATGGCAGGCAAACAAAAACGCCCTATCTGATTTATGCCAAACGAATGTGCCTAAATGTGTTTATGGACACAAAATATTTGCTTTTTAATAAAAAGCTCGGCTTAATGAACTTTATTTGCTTTTAAACTGTTCAAATCAGAAGGCGGCGACCTTAAATGACTGACATGTCCCTTAGAAACTATAACCATGTTTCCAAACAGAATCCTGAGCCTCTTTAGTTTCCAACATCTGGATCATAGTGTGGTTGAATTAGAGGTCAGAGGTCAGCGTTCAACTAAATTATTCACATATTTTTATTTTTCTTATTTATTTTTTGGTTTTTGCTTCTGTTTTGCTCGCTTTATTCTGCGGGTTTCATCATTTACAACTCAGTTTCAGCTTCTTCACCAGCTTTCGTCAAAGTCACATAGTGCTCAGCGTTTACTCTGCATTCTCACAGAAAATGTGGATTGTTTTGTTGTTCACAGCTTCTTACGTCCAACACCTCAAAACATCTGAACTATCCCTTTAATCGTGAGCTCAGATCCTCACACTGTTTTTCACCGACAGTAGATCTGCAGAGCAGCATTTAAAACCTTTGTTTCTATTTCTTAAATGTGTATTAACTAGCTGAGAGTTYGGGGCTGAGTCGTTTGGGGCACCAAGTGTAAAATAAAGTCTTGAAAAATGTCACAAACACATTCTTATTATTTAGCTCACTTTCTGAGTGACAAATTTTCCACATCCTTCTGTCCGTCCGTTTTCTTCCTCTTTTCCAGGGTCGGGTCACGGGGGCAGCAGCCTAAGCAGAGAGACCCAGACTTCCCTCTCTCCAGYCACTAGGACCAGCTCATCTGGGGGAATCCCAAGGTGTTCCCAGGCCARCTAAGAAACATAGTCCCCSCAGCGTGTCCTGGGTCTTCCTCTGGGCCTCCTCCCAGTGGGACAGAAATTTTCCAAATCTTATTATTTAGTTCACTGTTCTTACATTTTGTTAATTTTTATGAAATGTTATATTTACATGTTAAATAATATATGTAAATATTAAATCCTGAATCTAATTGTGTAAATCTAAATGGAAAAAGTTAAATCTAAATGTTGAACTTGACGTTTTAGTAATTCAGAATGGAATGCAGCCTTTGCTGTTGGCTTTGATTGTGATGTCATCATCCTGCAACAATAACAACCACAACTCTCCATGAACACATTTTGAATTTAAATTTAAAATAAATACCATCTTCAACAGTGTTAGCTGCGACTAGCAGCAACGTCTGTCGCAGGATAATGACATCACCCCGGTTAGCTGGTAACTTCAACATTCAGCCACAACATTTATCTGTCACGTTTACATTTAGGATTTAGTATACAGATAAAATTTAACGTTTAGTAAGAAAATAGCTAAATGTAAGAACAAAACAATAAATTATGTGATTTTACACTCAGAAAATGAGCTAAATAATAAAAATGTTAGGGACATTTTYATTTTACACTTGGGGCCCCATGGTGCAGAGCTGCTTCCACCACTAGATGGAGATGCTCCATTTTTTTTTAAAATTCAGCCTTGCAGAAGTTTTTTTGGCAAAAAAAAAAAACAAACCAAACAAACATCCAAAACAAAATCAAAAAACAGCAAATCTTTCCAAGATACATCTAGAAGACTCCATCAACGAAAAGCAGCATCCTATTTTTTCTCCACAAATCTAAAATCAAACAACCAAAAAGTGTTTTTTTTTTCTCCTCCATGCAGCTGCTGTGTCAAATGACAGAAAACAAAAAGCCATAGTGGACCTTTGCTGTGATGCAAGTTTATGTGGTTGATTTGGACTGAAAAGAGTTTTGTGAGCTTTTCCATCTGCTGTGAAGGAATCGGGCCCTCTCGACAAAGACCACTGTCACCACTGACCTGCAAATCAAAGGCATTTTTACGCTGAGTTACAGTGGATCCTCCTCTGCCAGAGCTGCTGGGCCTTAATTGGGACCAAAGCAAGATACATTTGTAACAAAAAAAAAAAAGGCAACCTTTTTTTTTTTTTGCCTTGATGAATACCCCCACAAGACGTGAGATCATGTGAACAGACCACCTGTGGGGCTTTCACTGCTGCTTCAGTATCATTCATGTCACCA